CACACACACACCCTCACATCCACACCCACATCCACACACAAACAAACAAATACACACCCATCCATCCAAACGCACACACCCACACAAACAAACAAATTACACACACACTCATCCCCCCCCTCCCCACACACACACACACAAACACACACACACACAGCAACCGGTCTTACTTACTTCAGAAGCACGCGCCTCTCGGTGACGTACCAGTAACTGATACCAACAACAACGCCTCAACTGAAAACAACACTTCTTTTTTATTTTGTTTTGCTTCATTTTAATTGTTTTGATTGTTCTGTTTTGTTTTACGTTGGGTTGTTGTGGGGTTTTTTTTTGGGGGGGGGGGTTTCGTTTGTTTGTTGGGGGTTTTTTGGGGGGTGTGGTTGTTTTGTTATTTTTTTTAGGAGGGCGGGGTATTTTTTAATAAGCGTTGAAAAGGGGATGTTCCGTTTTGCTGTCGTAGATTTTTTTAAAAGCAAATTATCCACAGAGACAAAAAGAACTAAGAAGGAATGGAAAGGAAAACATACACAGGAACAGGCAAAATTGCCCAAGACGCCCCTCTTTCCCAACAACCCCACCATCGAGGAAAGAAGGGTTGTCTTAGTCTTAGGTGGATATCCTGTGGACAGTCTGTGTCATTATATTTTTTTTTACCGCAAAGGGGGTAGAGCTATTGGTAAGCTGTTGTTATTGTTCAGACAAAGCATTGTCTTGTGAAAGGTGGCTGTCAGCCCAACTTCGGTTGTACAAGTTCTCAACCCTTAGTACCTCAGCAGAACAGAACCGGATCAAACGTACATTTCCTGAGTCATTCCCATGTTACTGGCTGCCTTCTCGAGTGTCAAGCTGCCCTAGCGCTCGTATTATATAATAATATTATATGGCAATATATGGCATTTTACAGTTGCGTGCGCCGTAAAGCTTTTACCAAACGAAAAACAAACCAAAAAAAAGGCGCCCTGTGCACTAACTTCCTGCTTTATGAAATCCCATACAGGCGCTCCTCTCAACGAAATATAAATTGTGTAAGCACCACAGAGTTATTTCTAGTGCACGTTGTACGACACTTGCAACACAATAAAAGACATAATTTAAGTGCCGAAGATTAGGAGTTACAAGAGAGTAATAGACACCCAAAAAAAAGAAAGGAGAGATCAGGATGATAGACGTTTGATAGGAAAAAATGAGCAAACCACGCCAGAGCAGCCGCTAACAAACTG